TGGCACCCTGGGGGATGTAGTCCGCGCGCACAGCTCTTCTCTCTGGGGAGGTGCGGTCCCGGCGGCGGCCGGTTGCTGAGGCCCGCGGGCTCCCTCCTGCTCCTCCTTCCCGTCCTCCAACCTGCCACAACCCCGTGCCCCTCTCCGGGCCTGCTGCGCCTGCGGCTGTGCTCCTGCCTCAGGCCCCTGCTCCCTGCTATTCCCCTGTAAGTGCCTCTGGGCCTCCTGGGGAAAGCAGCTTCTTCTGGGCTTTCTCCTTGCTTTTTTTCCCTCGTGAAAACCCGAACTGTCTTATTGGGAACGGCTGCTCGGGAGCCTCAACTTTGCTACCTTCCTGGGCACGAGCAGCAGCTCCGCGGGCCGCACCACAGCCCTGGGACCCAGGCGCGTTCTCTGCCTCGCTCTCTCTGAGCTAACGCATTGGATTTGAGTATCTCACACCTCCTAGTAAACCCATCTCTGAACGAAAAGCTTTTTCTGGATACACAGATGGAAGATCCTCCTAATCTGTTACTATCTTTGAGTCAGACACTTTCATTTTCACAACCTGCCTGTGAAAACGGGTAGTGCAGTTATCTGGTTTACTGCAACGCGTTTGGCCCTAAGGCCTTTCGAGGAGGCTGAGCTAGGTCTCCTGAGCTGTGGGTAAATGCTCTAATCCCTGGATCTCTTTGCTTCCCCCATCTAACAGCTGCAGGAAGGTAGCTCCAAGGCTGGAGCCTCATGGCAGAGAAGCCTTTTTTCATGATGCTGAGAGCGAAACTATTAGGATTGCCGTAAGTCAAATGTATCTATGGACACGAGGACAATTATACAAGAAGTCATGTTTTTATAGTCACAAAAAAACATACCCACAGCTTATCCCACACTGCAGGGGCGATGCTCTGGGTTCTCCTCCGGTGTTTTCCAAAAGAATGAAAGATTTCAACCCAAAGGAAAAAAAATACTATGTTTCAATCAAAAAAGAATTTCAGTTGATAAGAAAGTGTTTTGGTGAAAATGTTTCCACTGACCTAAGCAACGCGGATGACTGGAACAACAGCTGGACTCTTGGAAACTGGCCGCTTAGTGAGGCAAACACCCAAGTCTCTTATCAAGCCTGGCTCTTTTTGTAGTTGCCCACACAGTCATATGATGTGTGTACTTACACTTGTATTTCAGGGGCACTGACTAGCATTTCACGGGGCCAACACACAGGGGGTGTGGCAGGCGGGTGACACATTCGTCAGAGCTGGGGCTGCAAGAGAGCGAGACTTTCTGCCTCACCTCCGTGCAGGCTCTGCATCGTTCCCCGGCTGCTTGGTGTCACACCAGGCAAGCAGGGACATCCTCAGCGGGGCTGAAGCTGCAGCAGGTGAGCAATTGGGTGACGATCCCACTGCTTGGCACATCTGCTACGCCAAGGGGGCTGAAATCTTCAGCTTGGTCTGCAAGAGCCAAGTGACGTCCATTGGGCTTGTTGTGCCAGGAAGAGCTCAGACGGAGCAGAGAGGAAGCCAGCACAGGACACGTGAGTGGCATGATGACTGGGTGGGTTGTTAGCTGGATCTCTTGGAAGGAGTATTTCTGTCAGTGGAGGGAGCAGCTGGAGCTGGTTCCCATGTACAGGGTCCAATGGGTGTCTGACCAGTCGTGAACTGAAATATGAGCTTTTCTTGCTGGATTCCCCACCAATCTCCCACACCCAGGATAAGCAGTGTATGCTAAAAGCTGATCTCAGGCCACAGCCTTCCTTTTCCCTGGTGAAATGATTGAGTCTCTGTCTTCAACTTCAGGTTTATTTTCGTGTGAGTGAGGAGACCATTAAAGCTCTGTGACTGCACTAGTGCGGTACCTGTCTAGTGTATTCAGGCTGCTCTGGCTTGTGTCTTGGGGGGAAAGAGCAGACATGCACAACACTGTCGCGTTTTCATCACATCCATAGCAAACACTACCAAGTTAATGTATTTTCCACCGTGAGGGACTGAGTAGCAGTGTAGTGACTTCCTTTGGGAGAACAGTGCCAATTCCAGGGCTTGGGCCTCAGATTGCTGCTGCTTGTCCAGGTGCTGATGACCTCTCTGCCCTGGGAGCCTGGCGCTAGCTATACCAGCTTGGAAGGAGGCATTTACTGCACAGCATGGACCATTGAGCCCACATGGCCCAGGAACTCAGTGGTTAAATCCCATGGCACTGGGAACAGCAAAGGACCCAAGGCCGGATAAATCTTAGAGTTAAATGGGCTGGCCGTGTGAGGCCCCAGGGCTGGGTGGGAGATGCAGTGATTTCAGCTTGTGGGGTGCTGGCCTGGAGCATCGAGCAATGCGAGGACTAGAGACTCCACTGTGTTTCAAGGAAGTGAGGTACCATCACAGCCCTGGACTCTGCAGCTCAGCCTCCCAACCCTCATATTAATAAATCTGGCCTCACAGGTGTTTTTCATGTGGTTGTTGTCCCTGTCTCTTAGATAAGGACTCTCTTTGTAATTTCCATCTGCTTTTGCTTAGACACATCACTTGTGCTAATGCTGGTCCTTCTGAGGGTGTGCCAAGGATGAGACAATGAGCCCAAAATGACCTGTAGAAATTCAGACAGACCGGGGGCAGTAATTTTTTCAGCAGAAAATTCCTCTTGGCTCTGTCTCAGGCCCTGCTGACACCTGGTATACAGACAGGTACCCCTGAGGTGGGCTCCAGTCTGACGCAGCTGCCAAGCAGAGGTCTCAGATGGGCACCAGCTTGGTGGCAACTTCTGACATCTTAGGCAGATCTGGCAGGCCTGACCCAGATTAGGTTTTTGTTAGCAGGGCCCACACCCATCAGAGATTCTCAGACTAAAACAAGCATCTCACACTTTGCTTGGAGCACAACAATGAGTTCACAAGTGTCTGAGCTGCTGACGGGGTGGGGAAGAAAGTATTTGAGGGGGTCTTTGTTTCACTTTCCCCAAGCGGTGAGCTCTGTCTTCACTCATCTGTGCTTATCTTGCTCCTTGCAATAGGACGGATCTCTTTCTTGTGTTTCAAGGTCAGGTCCCTTCTGCTTGTGTGTGCCGTGCTGGGAGGCAGGATGGCTCGGAAGATGAGCATCGATGAGCTAGAGGACCAGCTCCTCTGTCCCATCTGCTTGGAGGTCTTCAAAGAGCCGCTGATGCTGCAGTGTGGGCACTCGTACTGCAAGTCCTGTGTGGTGTCACTGTCCTCCGAGTTGGATGGGCAGTTCCTGTGCCCTGTGTGCCGCCAGAGCGTGGACTGCAGTGCCTCACCACCCAATGTCACACTGGCCCGTGTCATCGAGGCGCTGCAGAGCCGGGGCGAGGCGGAGTCCACCCCGGAATCCTGCCCGACCCACCACAATCCCCTCAGCCTCTTCTGTGAGGACGACCAAGAGGTGATCTGTGGGCTGTGTGGCACCATCGGCAGCCACCGCCAGCACAAGATCACCCCCATCTCTACCACCTATTGCCGGATGAAGGTTGGCAGACGGGGCTGGCAAGGGCTCCCCAGGATGGGGGTTAGGGCACCTGTAGCAATCTCAGCCACAAACAGAGCACTGCCTGCTGACCAAGTGTCCCCTATCTGTCAAGGGACAGGCTGGAAATGATGCTGGTGTGGGGGCATGGGCCCTGGGCTGGGGGGCAGCTCTCTCTCAGACCCACTGTGTCCCCAGCTTAGTGAGCTCACAGTTTTGGTGGCTAAACCACAGTGGGGAGAGCTGAGGGTCAGGGAGAGCGGGAGTGGGCCTTTCAAGACTGTTTTCAAATACCATCAAAAGGAGTCTGGAGATAAGGGCTAAGGCGAGGAGCCACGGGAAAGCAGGGAAAACAGGAACCTCGGCCAGTTAGAGTAAACAGCTAGCGTCTCCTGCCCAGTGTCACGTGAAAGCCCAGAGCAGAGAATGGAAAAGCACAGGGCCACTGATCCCCTCAGCTCCTGGCACTGGGTAGATAAGACCGGGAGGAAGCAGAAACACACCTGCCTGAGTCAGGCCCCTGACACAAGCGTTGAGAGGGTGTTGCAGGCCCTGTGCTGGCTTGCAGGCCACTCACGTCCTCCTTATCTGATGTGGAGCCACCACAGGGTGGAAGATGCTGCCTGAGCAAGTGGGAGAAGATACAGAGGGGAAAGGATATGGAGGGCTGAGAACAAGAGCAGACACTTTACCAGCACTCCTGGTTCTTACCAGCAGCATCCAGATCAAGACTGTGGTCTAGGTGCTCTCCTGCCTCCAGCCACCCCAGAACCTTTACATCAGCGAGTAAAGATCAGCAGGATGTGCAGGACTCCGCTTTGCTCGGGGTGCTCCCAGGCACTCTCAGCTCTGTGCTTTCCTCAGGAGGTTGTGGTTTCTTAGGGCCACACATTCCTCAGGGGCAGGCATTCACCGGGGCACAGCCTGCGATCAAGCAGGCTGTCACAGAGGCCCCCACTAAAGATATCTGCTGTTTTTGCAGGAGGAGCTGTCTGTGTTGCTAACCGACATCCACCAGTGCAAGAGGAACCTGGATGAACACTTCAGCAGGCTCATCAACAACAAAATACGCATTGCAGTGAGTGCTATGCACCAAGGGAGCCCGCTTCCCAGAGTCCTTTTTGTGCCACATAGCCGCTGGGAAAACCCCTGCTGCTGGGCCTCCTCGCCGCTCCTCTTCCAATCCTCTCCTCTTTTCCCTTCCCTGGGATAGCAGGCATGGCTTGTCCTCCACCTTTTTCCCCGGGATTGCTATGAAACTGAAGGACTAAACATGGTCTGGTTTTTGGGAGGGGTGATGTAGCCCTCTTTGGTGGCACAGCCCTGTTTTCAGAAGCGGTGACATTTCTTTCTCTGGTGGCACTCAGCCCCCTAGCAGGACCACTGGTCAGAGCTGGTTTCACCTAATGTCCTTGGAGGTGGTGAGATAACAGGTGAAAAAAATGCTGCTCAGAACTGGTTTCCCGGCCTGGGTAACACTGGTAGTTTCACACCGAGTTCATGCCTAGTTTAGCTGCATGTTGGTTTTCCACCCTGTAGGCTTCTCCTAGGGACCTCCTGGCATCCTTTCTCAGGCTAAAGCTTCCCAGCAGGGCTCATCAGGAGGGTTGAACCCGAATGAAGCTGTAGCTTCACTTTCTCCCCCTTGGCCCAGGACACTGGTTGTTCCCTGAGAGCAGAGGGATCCAAGAGCTCTGTTGAGCAGCAGGGCTCTAATGTCCTGTCTAGTCAGGACATTAGGAAATCAAAATTTGGGGGAGGGGTGTGAGCCGGGGTACTGTGGTGGTAAGCCTCTGAGGACAGCAGGATGAAGGCAGCATCTGGCTTGCTGTGAAGGGCCGCTCTTTATTTGGAAAGCGAGTGGACATCTTGCTGGAACACGTAGACTTTGCTTGTGGAATTTCTGAAACTAAAAAGCAGATGAAGGCAATGGATCAAAGTGGTCCTGCACAACTGCTTGCTGTCTCCCTGCAGAATGAGGCAGATGTCTTCAAGTGTGTGACTCGTAAGGAGTTCCAGGAGCTGCACAGGTACATTGACGAGGAGAAGGCCACCTTCCTGGAGAGCGTTGAAGGGAAGGCAACTCAGCTAATCACCTCCATTGAGTCCCAGGTCAAGCAGACTTCAGATGCCCTGCAGAGGCTGAAGGAGATGGAGAGCTCTCTGGAGACACTCAACAACGAAAGCCAGCTTGATTTCATCCGGGTGAGTGTGCTTATCAGGGGCCATGCGGCAAAGGTGGTGAGGGCCAGCCAGGCTCTCCAGTCTGCAGCCCACTACTCATAGTCCTGGGTACTTCCCTGGGTAGCAAGTACAACTATCCAGTGTAGTTAGGCAACCAAGAGAAGAGAGAGGCAGGTGCCCTCTGTCCAACCAGGGCCTTCCCCAGGTGGGAGAGACCTGCCCTTCAGCATACACCTCCACAAAGGGTGCTGCCCTCAGCTCTCCCCTGAGAGGAGACCACTGGCCTCTCCAGCCCCTGGAACAAGTATGTAGAGCTGTGACCAGGTAGAGGAATTAGTGTTTTGGAAGTCTCCCAGCACTAACTTTCTCCTTCTCTTGTGTTTTCCAGAAATATAGCTCCTCCCAGTTCAGGTGAGTGATGAGACCCAGCAGCAAACAGCACCAATGGGGACAGCAGTGCTTCTGCACCGGCTCTGGAGGGTCCAGGCCTGTGGGCACCCCAGCACTGCTAGGGCAGCCTGGCACAGATGTACTGCCCTGCTCACTTCTATGGGCATCACTGTTGTGGTAGAGAGTGTCAGAGCCATGGCTGAAACTGTACCCGCAGCCCCAGAGCAAGAGCAGCTGGGGAGACACAGCGTCACCATCATACACAGCAGCCAGGTGAGAAAAGGTTGCATGCCATCCCCGTCACCTGTGTCATAGCTGCTCATGTCTTTCTAGGTCAGAGCTTCCCAGCCTGCAGCTGTGCGATGGCATCTTCAGCCCTGTTTCCTTCAAGCCATGTTTCCACCAAGATGACATCAAGATGACTGTGTGGAAGCGCCTGCACCGCCGGGTTCTGCCAGGTACTGTCCTGCCTGATTGGCATCACCCCAGATATCCTGGCCTGCTGGTGCATGCTGTTGGGACAGGCTGCCCAGCTGGCATCGCACTGCCCCCAGCCTCTGTCTTGCTCTCTGGACGTGGTTGTGACCCCTCACTACCAGGAGAGCTCCTGGAGCAAGGACTGGCCCAGCAAGTCATGTCGGTAACAGCCTGCTCTGGCAAAACGCTTTTAGCTGCTTAAAAGTGCAGCAGGGCCAGTTTATCTGGCTGTCCCTGGCCAGATCCCAGCTGAGATGGGATCATCCAAGGCCAGTCCTTCTGCCTGCTAGGGTGACTGGAGTCTGAGTGCTTTCTTTTTAGCTCCAGAGATGCTGAAATTGGACCCAGTGACTGCACATCCCCTCCTGGAACTCTTCAAGGGTGACACAGTGGTACAGTGCGGACTCTACCAGCGCCGGGACAGCAACCCCAAGCGTTTTGACTCCAGCAACTGCATCCTCACCAGCAAGGGCTTCTCCTGTGGCCAGCACTACTGGGAGGTGATTGTGGGCACCAGGAACCACTGGCGTGTGGGCATCATCAAGGGCACAGTCAGCCGCAAAGGGAAGCTCAGCAAGTCTCCTGAGCATGGTGTTTGGCTCATCGGCCTAAAGGAAGGGAAAGTCTACGAGGCCTTCAGCACCCCGCGGGCCACCCTGCCACTGGTTGCCCGGCCTCAGCGCATTGGGATCTATCTGCACTATGAGAAGGGAGAGCTGACCTTCTACAATGCTGACAGCTCTGATGAGCTCAGCCCCATATACACCTTCCAGGCAGAGTTCCAGGGCCAGCTCTACCCTATTGTGGACCTGTGCTGGCCAGAGCGAGGGCCCTACTCCCTGCCCATCATCCTGCCTACACCTGCCATGAGCCAGCACCCCCATTTGCCGTACAAACATCCTGCCCCGGAGGAGCCCACCAAGCTGTAGTCTGTCCAGCAGGATGAACCTCTGGCTATGGAAGACTACGTCTCGCGTTGTTTCCTGGGGTGCCACCTCAGCTACAGAATGGACATGGAAACAGGTTCTTTGGCCCTTTACACCAGGGAATGTGTCACTAAGCAAAGCTGCCTGCTGGGCCACTTTTGATAGGGAAGGGGTTCAGGCCTAGTGCTTGCCTTTGGTCCTGTCCCCATGGCTAATTCCTGCCACCTGTCTCTGCCCAAACACCAACGGGCTGCTCAGGACCTGCGCTGGTAGTTGGTCCCCCTCATGCAGAGCATCATACAAAGGCAGCAGTGCTCCACCCTGATCGCCATGTCGCACCTGAACAGACTGAGACAGGCACTAGGGAAACCTGTGACACATTCAGAGTCTTCTGTTGACTGCCTTTCTGCTGGCTATTGATTAGTGACTGCTCTGGCCAAGGGAAATGGCCTGCAGCTATGATACAGGGACTAAGTGACACATTTTGTGCACGCTCCTTTCCCTGGCAGGGAAGCAAAGATGTGCAAGTCTAGAGGGCCTGCAGCAGACAACAGTCACTTTGTGGACAGGGTTGTTTGATGTGGAACCTGTTCTTCTAGAGAACAAGATTCAGCAAGCCAGGAAGAGTCCTTCCAGTCTCCTCTAACAACAAAATGGCAGTCCTGATCTGTGAATGCCCATCCACAACCTAACAGGCAGACCTGGCTGACCAGAAAGCCTAAAGTACATCTGGCCTGCAAAGATCTCCCTATGGAAATGAATGCCTGCCAAAAAAAAGCAAGCTATAAGCATCTCGGGGCGGGGGGGGGGGGGGGGGGCCTGCCCTGCTTCTGAATGAATGGACTTTGCATTAGGCGAGCTGATTGCTGGCTAGCAGTGCCATTGTGTCTGAGGAAGCAGAACTGCAGTCAGACCTGAACAGGCCATTGCAGTGATCTGCGGAGGCTCATAGGGCTGCTGGGAGAGGAAAATGGGTGTCTTAAAAGCAGCAGCCAGAGAGCTGTCTGCTAGCCAGTCAGCAGCTGACAAGGGCAGAAACAGGGCCAACAGGTATTAGCTGAGGAGCTGTGGGACCATGACGGCAGCAAACCAGGCTGGCTAGGCAGATCATCTCTTACAGCTTCTCAGGGATGTAAACTGGTGCTGAAATCAGGGTGTCTCACACCCAGCCTGGTTTTGGGTGACACACTGTGCCTGGCAGGGCTATGGGCAGCAGCACTGAATGGAGGTGCTCACTGGAGGGGTGAGGAGATGCTGGGGTGCTGGCCTGAGGGGTGAGGTGGTGTGAAAAGAGCAGGGTGAGTCATGACCCAACAGGCGCTGCCAGCTGCCCCTACAGACAGCCTGGGAGCAGCACTCCCAACAGTCTTCTCTCCATTCGACTATGCCCATAGGGCGTCTCTATTCTGGGGAATACAAGGAACACTAGGCAAAATATCTCACATGGAGCATGCATCTTATTATCAATTACTATGGATTTAAAGGTTGCTGCCTTACTTCTGAAATTCAAGCAGCTCCAGTTCCTAAATCACAGTAACACATTAAAGCTCTGTCTCAACAGACATTACACAATGTTTTCTTCTCCATTACCATGCAAGTCTGGCTGGATCCTAATGTACTGGCAAATGGTCGTGCACCTTTCAAGGTTTGATCTTACAGGGCAGCATCTTGCAAACAGAACTGCTTCCTACTTTTACCAACCCTGAGAAGTTCCCATGCTATCTACTCCTCCAAAAGACATGTGTTACAATCTGATTTCAAAACCAAACTACTTCACCTTGAGCAGCAGGACCCCGTCCCCTTCCTAGCATATGGACACCACTGAAAAATATGCAAGTCAGGGGCAGTTTCTCAGAAAAATACAAAGTAGCATTTTTGATTTGGTTCTTATGTCACCATATCTTCGATACAAAGGTATGTATCACTTACCGTAGTCTTCTGCTTGCCTTGATCGTCTGAGTTTATGGCTATTAAAAAGTCAAGTGTGGCTATTTTTCTCCAAATATTATTTCTCTTCTGTGTGTAATGCACAGAAATCTAGCACAGCATTGAAACTGCAGTACAACTCTGCTGAATGTATGAGCCTATGTCAAACTGCAGTTATGTCTAATTGCTGGGTTTGGCTGGGTCCCAGCAGCAGCGGAGGAACACAGCCAGGACTCACCTGCAGTGCTGGTCAGCTCTGGCCTGTCAGGACCCAGGCTGGGCCAGGTCTCTGAGGAAGAGCTCAGAGATCTCTGGAAGATTTCAAATTCCCCTTAAGGGAGTCCCAAACAGAGTCAAAAGAAGCTTCACAAACTGCAAGAGTAAGTGCGGTGGTGGGCAAGGCCCCACCAGGCAGAGGAGCTGGGAGGACTGCAGCAATCCGGGGTGCTGAGCGCCCCTCGGCGCTCCGCCACCTGTTAACCCAAACGACCGCTTCTCCAGGAACTGCCAACCACAGCCCCCGCCCTCTGTGGAGAAGGGAAACATTCCTCTCCTGTCAGGTCCCTGCCCTATACCCGCGAAGAGCCAGGAGGCCCAAGGGCTCTGATCCCACTGTGTGACTCCGAGATGGGTCACAAAAGTCGCCTCCGTTTCCTTCTTCCCGACGGGGCCCAAGAAGCAGCCAGGGGACAGAGAAAGGAGCCAAACCCCGTGTGCGGCCGGGTCCTCCGCGCCCGGCCTCAGGCAAAGGGCGGGCAGGGGCAGCCCGAACCCCAGGAGCCCCGAGGCCCC